GTTTTACACATGTGCATTTATAAGTATGTATATGCATTTATGTGTGAATGCTGGTATACACATGTGCATGCCTTTGGAAGCCAGAGGACAACCTTGAGTGCTGCTCCTCCACCTTGAGATGCTGTCTTTGCTCTTGGCAGCCAGCCCATGAGCTCCAGGGAGTCCTCCTGTTCTTGCCTCTTAGGAGTACAGAGATGGAGATGCTCGTGGCATTGCCTCTTTGTGTGGGTTCTGGGCATTTGAAGTCAGGTCTCTGTGCTTGAGGCACAGGCATTACCCACCAAGCCATTTCCTTAGCCCTCCCATAGTGATTTTTGGAAGGAATTTACACTTGATTTTAGCCAAGAGACCAGAAACAATATCAGAATTTAAAAGTTTAGTTTGTATTCATTAGCATCTTGGCCTAAATGGCACAATCCCTGCCCCTTGGGGAAAAAACAAACATTGACTTAACTAGCATTTAGTTAGCATTAGGAAATGACTATAATCATTAATCATCATCATTTTTCTTTTCTTTTTTATAAACTCTAAGTTTCCCACAGAATGAACTGAGTTGACCACAAGTTGGCCATTTGGTAACTAGTAACAAGCGTTCTCTGAACACCCCTTACCAGAGTCTGCTCAGAGTACCGTGGGGAATAAAAGAAACAGGAGACGAGGCAGAAAGAGTCTTAGCCTGCAAACAAATTATTACTTCCCAGCATCCAAAGGCTTACTATTGAAAACCAGGGCGGGCATTCTCTTGTTGTGAGAATAAGTTTGGAGCAGATGACCTGGAACCCATCACTGGCCACCAGCTGCTGGAAGCAAGCTAGTGTGTACCTTGGGACCTTGGCTTCCCCACCGGAAAACAAGGTGTTAAACACAACTCCGAAGACTGGGAGATTGGACAGCAGTTGTTTGTCAAAGGCAGCATGATTCTAGGGCCTAGGACTTGTGTCTTGGATGACTGAGGCTGGGGTGTGAGGGAAGTAATGGCTTTTCAAAGAACAGAGGTGGGTGGACAATTAGGAACACACTTAGCTGACGCTTGAATGCCTGTTTCATGTGGAGGATGTAATCCTGGAGAGGGATGGGATGACTCATGGGCTGCCTGAAACCTGATCAAATAGAGCTATCCAATTTCCTTGCTCTGATCCTAGGCAGCTGAATTATCTTAACTTGGTTTCCTAGGCAGCTTCCCCAGACTACAGATGTGATTGGAAGTTGACGTGTGTGTGTGTGTGTGTGTGTGTGTGTGTGTGTGTGTGTGTGTGTGTGTATGAAAAGTAAACAGAATTTTATAAAATGGCATTTCAATGAAAAGGTGAAGCAGTGTGGTGATATCATTTTTGGTTAGAAGTCAGTCTGGTAGGGTCTGGTTAGCCTTTGAACCATGTTTTGGTAAGAGCCGACAAAGCATGGTTGACTTGGTAAAAATGGAGACATTTTTAATCTGCAAAGCCGAGCAGAGGTACAGCTCACTAGCATGTCCTCCATGCTGTTCTGTTTACACAGTTGTAGAATGGTAGCTTTGGGGTAATAGGATTGCTATTTTCCCTGCTCAGCTTGCTCAGATACGCTCAGAATGACCAGGACACTCAAATTTGGTCTCCCACCCAACATACCCTCTCACACGTATATTCCCACTCATTTACTCTGCAAGATTCATGCCCCGTGGGACAACGGGAAGAAGCCATCAGAAACAGGGAGCGAGAAAACCTCAAACATCTAGAGAGCAGGCAACAGTTTCCTCTACCCTCTTCAAATGCTGCTAGAAGGGCAGGGGTCAGCTCTGGGTCTACAGCCGTTCACCTTCCCTTAGACTCTGACCCAAGCTGGAACCAATTGTGTCAGGTGCAGCAAGCTCCCATTCCACTTACATGGAGTCAGGCATGCGTGGCTCCTGCTTCTCCTACCTCCTCTTCTTTGGTCTGGTTGGAGGGTAGCCATGCGCTAAGATGCCTCCCCAAGAGCAGCTCCGCCTAGCCCCCCTCCCTGGGCTCCTGGCATGGCAATTACTGGAGCTTCAGTCTCAGCTTACCAGAGGGGAGGGAGGGGAGGCAATCTCCATCTGTTTTGTGACTGTGGCAGTGAGGGCGCTTTGTGTCCTCACACAGAAGTGGAAGCCCTCGCTATCTGGCCGGGACGTTCTACAGGTTAGGGAAAGATGAACCGACCCCGTTTCTGCATCTCCTTCTGCTGGTTGTATTTTGCCGCTTCTGGACTCAGAGGTGAGAGGCCAGTACTACCGTATGGGCTCCTCTAGAGTCTTTTCTTTGGTGAGAGGTGGGGTAGGGCTGGAAAAACAGGGGGACTGGCCAGAAGAGCTCATCCACTCACTTCCAAGCTGTCCCTGGCTAGTGTTGGAGTCACACCCCATTTTGACCCCAGAGATATTCTTGTTTTGAAATGCTGATCTAGGTCCTTCTCTTTGCAGCTGTAGAAACAGCAGATGGAAAATACGCTCAGAAGTTGTTTAATGATCTTTTTGAAGATTACTCCAATGCTCTGCGTCCAGTAGAAGACACAGACACGGTCCTGAATGTCACGCTGCAGATCACACTTTCTCAGATAAAGGACATGGTAGGGTGAAAACAAGCCTTTGCCTCGGAGGGGAATGTCTCAAGGGGACCTCGGGAGAGAGTGGAGTGGACAGTCCTCAGTGTCGGTTGGCATGAGGAGGGAGATCCAGGGAGAGAAAGCTTTCTACAGAATGAGTCATTTAACTAAGTGCTCTCTAGTGTCACCAATGTTATTATCACCTAGGGTTCTGGCCGTGCACACTGACAGCCTGAGACAATGGAAAGAAAGACAGTGTTGCGTGTGGTCTGATTCTATTCATGAAATGTCCAAATAAGGTCTGTCCCTTCAGTCAGAAAACAAAGCATTGGTTGCCAGGGACTGGAGGAAGGACCGGTGACTGCTTAATGGCTATAGGGTTGCTTTTAGGTGTGTGGAAAATGTCCTTGAGGTGGATAGTTGAGATGATTATGCAGTTCGGTAGGTCACTGGAAGCCACTGATAACTATAAACTAGCTAAAATGGTGCTTTCTAATATTTTATTTTAATTATGCAGTGACTGCAGAGGCCAGAAGAGGGCATCTGGAGCTAGAATTACGGGCAGTGGGGAGGGGCCGGACATGGGTGCTGAGAACTGATTTCAGATACTCTGAAAGAACAGTACACACCTTTAACTCCAGTCCCCTAAAATAGTAGGTTTAATTACAATTCAAATACAGGAAGGTGGTGTTTTAAGATGACATGGCTGATTTCCTGCATACAGATATTTAATTATACAAAGTTAGAAGATTTGAATGATGTTTTCTTTTGTACATGGTAGGTATTTCCTGACTCCTCACTCAAGTGTGTCATTAGCTGATCCACTTTCAGAGAAAACTGAGCAATTGGCCCATGGAAAGATATATAGACTAAAAACCTGTCTCCTTTACATTCCGCACACTATATCAAAAAAAGGCATTAAGTGCAGCCTTGGCAATCAATCAAGCAGAGAGAATTTTAAAAGGTCTCGTTTGTGGCATTCTTGAGATTCCCTGCTATCAAGAACAAGTGTCCCAAAGCCCGAAGTGCATACTGGATAAGGTGACATCTGGATTCATTGCTTAGGACGAGAGAAATCAGATTCTGACAGCCTATCTGTGGATCCGTCAAACCTGGCATGACGCATACCTCACATGGGATCGAGACCAGTATGATGGGCTGGACTCCATCAGGATTCCCAGCGACCTGGTGTGGAGGCCGGACATTGTCCTGTACAACAAGTAAGTGCCACTCAGACCAGACGATATGAACCTACTGATTTAGTAGAAACTCAGACATCACATCAAGGGGACATTTTAAAACACACATGGAGCACAAATCCATCAGACTTCACACCCCCTTTCAGGTGCAAAATTGGAGGCAGTTTTCTAGGGGATAAGCAATAAGCACAGGCTGGGCGACTTGAAGGAGAGACATTTGTCAGCTCACGCTTTAGGAGGCTGGAGCATTAAAGTGTGAATTTGTTCCCTTCTGTGGGTTTCCAGCAGGAACCTGCTCCATACCTCACCCCTAGCTTCTGCTGCTTGCTATCCTCTGTGTCCCTTGAGCTGTAGAAGCATCACTTGGATCTTTGCCTTCATCCTCACAGCGTTCTCCCTCTGAGCATCCATGCCTGAATCCTCTCTCCTGTTAGGAGACTGTTGGTACAGACTGAGGTGGTCACCCTGTTCAGCTTGAGCTCCATCTTAGCTCGCTGTACCTACAATAACTCTTCTCCTCCCCCTTTTCTCCTTCTCCTCTTCCTCTAATGTGGGGTTTTTGTTGTTGTTGTTTGTTTTGTTTTGTTTGTTGTTATTGCTTTGTTTTTAAAGACAAGATCTTGCTGTTTAGCTCAAGCTACCCCAGATCTGACAATCTTCCTGTTTCAGCCTCCCAAGTTTACCATCACTCCACCTCAGCTCTATTCTTCAGTAAGCCAGAGAGTTAGGACTTCAATGCGAGAACTTGTATCTCGTGAAAATGTATCTGGAGATACAATTTAAGCTGCTCACAGCCTGGGGATTATATAACAGAAATGCTCCTATGGACCACCTAGAATTTGCCCTGTGGATTTAGGACCAGAGACTGTAAGGAGATGGTATCTTGGGAGTATTTTGGCTCTTTTCAGAGCAAGGGGCCTTGCACACATATGGCTCACGTTTCTCAGACTGTAAAGCATACTTGAATCACCCAGAGATTGACAAAATTCAGGTTTGGATTCAGTAGGTGTAGGGTGGGCCCCTCAGTTCCGCATTCCTACAAGCTCCAGAGAGCAGTGGGTGCCGCTGGCCTACCATGCTGGACTTCCAGAAAGAGCCTGATCTCATGCGGAATTCAAGCTCAAAGTCTCCACCTCCTTCCAGGTGTAACAGGAGCTCCTCTTTCTTTCTTCTGGAACCTAAGCTCCTGTGGGTTGAGAAGGGTTCTTCTGTTGATCAGATAAAAATGGGGCCTGTTGGGGGAGTGGTCATGAAGAGCTCTTGAACAAGCAACAGTGGTGGGTGGCAGCCTTGAGTTTACTCATTCTTTACTCAGAGCCCACCCAAAGGTCATGGCCTGCTGTTCATTCCTCATTTTAAGTGACCAGGGGAAGGTTCCATGTACCTTCTAAGGGAGCTAACATTTAAGACCTAGGCTTTATTACTTGAATCTACCCTGTTTCCTCCTCTTTTTCTCCCCCTCTCACCCACTCCTCTCTTCCTCCTTTTCCACCCTTTCTCCTAGAAGATGAGTCACAGGACCATCACCATGCTCGCTTACAGAGTGTGATAAAGTGAGATCCGGAAATGTGATTGACACAGATGATCTCTCACGAGTTTTCGGTAGATTCCACCTGTTTTCCCTGGAGAACAAACAGAAGAGCTGCGGTTCTCCCTACACTCTTGCTTTGATTGGGCGCTGCAGTGGAAATGCTTTTTTGCAAGCATACATAGCCACTAAGTTAAAACTGGACCAGTGCCTGGGTTCTAGAGAAGCAGGCTATGTGCTCAGGAGCTCAGGAGCTCATGGTAACAGCGCCTCTGCCTTGTAATGGCAGTGGAGGACTAGTTCCCCAGAGGAAAATGGAGTTTTTGTACCTAGAAAAAGCAGGGACGGATGTTGACAAAGTAAGAAAAGATATCCCAAGAAATAGTGAACATCTCTAAGATTGTGGATGAAGGATTTTTTTTCCTCTGTGTTTTCCAAATAAACACACACACACACACACACACACACACACACACACACCTCTGATGACAGGAACAAAATCAGAGAAGCAGATTTTAGCTTTGACAGGCTCCCTCTTTTTTCTGGATGTTCAGCTCATTGGTAGCCTGATACGGGTTAGAGGGAACACGGAGCGGAGATACTTTAAGGAAGATGCTAAGGGTCCAGACCAGTCTCAGGAGGTGGAGGAGAAGGTGTGTTGGAAGCGATCCCAAACTCACAAGCCAAAGGGATAGAGGATGGTGGTCCTCTGCAGAAGATGCTGAATGGACAGGCACAGGGCTGTGGGCCATCCAGCTGCGAGTCAGTAAGGTCTTTTAGCAAGTGCCTATCATTGTCTTCGTTTGCTCTGCAGGGCAGACGATGAGTCTTCAGAGCCTGTGAACACCAATGTGGTCCTGCGGTATGACGGGCTCATCACCTGGGACTCGCCAGCCATCACCAAAAGCTCCTGTGTGGTGGACGTCACCTATTTCCCCTTCGACAGCCAGCAGTGCAACCTGACCTTTGGTTCCTGGACCTACAATGGCAACCAGGTGGATTTATTCAATGCCCTGGACAGTGGTGACCTCTCTGACTTCATTGAAGATGTGGAATGGGAGGTCCACGGAATGCCTGCTGTGAAGAACGTCATCTCCTACGGCTGCTGCTCGGAGCCCTACCCAGACGTGACCTTCACTCTTCTTCTGAAGAGGAGGTCCTCCTTCTACATCGTCAACCTCCTCATCCCTTGTGTCCTCATATCATTCCTTGCTCCTCTGAGTTTCTACCTCCCAGCAGCCTCCGGGGAGAAGGTCTCTCTGGGAGTGACCATCCTATTGGCCATGACTGTATTTCAGCTAATGGTAGCAGAGATCATGCCGGCCTCAGAAAATGTACCGCTGATCGGTGAGTGTGGACCGGGGACTTAGCTTTGTAGCAACTGGGGTGGTGTGTGTGCCTTGAACTGAAGCAGTTGAAGCCACTGGCCTAATGTTTTCACAAAATCTATCCAGTGCCTACAGATGGCATCTTTTGTGTTTGGGTATGGTTGTTGGAATTATATGGATCTGTTTTAGGATTTTGAGACAGAGTTTTATAGTGTAGCCCGGGCTGGCCTCAAACTTGTTATTTAGCCAAAGAAGAAGTAGATCTTCTGGCCCTCCTCCCTCCATGTCCTGAGTGTTGGGATTGTAGATCTGTACCACCAAACCCCAGGTACTTGGTTCTGGGGATCAAACCCAGAGCTTCCTATGAGCCGGACAAGCCTCTGCTTGACAGTGACTTCTACTATTTGTTCACAGCGTTAGGTCCTTCTTCTCAGGAGGAAGCAGCTGTGCAGGAAGCTGCGCTGGAGTCTCAAGTCAGTCATCTACCCTGTGTACCAGAAACCCCGACCCCACCCCATCAAAACAGCAAAACAGAGGTTCCTATGCCCAAAGGGTTTGATTTAGCAATCTTTCCCAAAATTAATTTTTTATTTAAAAAAATTCTAAGTGTGTGTGTGTGTGTGTGTGTGTGTGTGTGTGTGTGTGTGTGTGTGTATGCAACATTGGTCAGGATTTAAGAATCTGACCATTCTAAAGCAGAATGCATTTTTTTTTCAGAATGCATTTTCTCATATTTTGGTTGTGACCTAACCTTTCGGCCACAGAATACATTTTCCAAAGTCTGTCATAATGTAAACTGCAGCCAAGGGTTGTAGCGGAGGCAGAGGCTGCTGTGCCCACTTTTCCACCCACTGAGATCCCCTCTGCCACCTTAATACCTCCTGCCCCTGCCACCAAGGAGACCCCTCTAATCCAACACTTCGACTCACTGCTATAATAGATGCTTGACAGTGCTATTGTGGTTTTTACAAAGACATCCTTTTTTTTTTTTTTTTTTTTTTTTTTTTGGTTGCTTTTGCTTTTGCTTTTTGGGTAGAACAGGGTCTCATGTGGCCCAGGCTGGCTTATAATTGGTTCTGTAGCTGAGGCTAGCCTTGAATTTCTTTCTGTTCCTTCTGCTTCCACCAACCAAGTAATGGGGGGGTCCACTTTATGTCTTTTTTTTTTTTTTTTTGAGAAAACACAGACACACACACACACAAACACACACACACACACACACACATACAGGTTTTCTTCTCCAGTAATAAAGGTACCCTGACACTTTTATTACCTCTCTGGAGACAAAAGTGAGTCACAGTGGCTAGGCCTGGTCATCCACATCTGTCACCCCAGCACTCAGGGGTGGAGGGAGGAAGGTCAGGAGTGTGAGGCCTGCCTCAACTGTACCATACCCTGTCTCAAACTAAAACCAAAACCAAAACAGAAACTGTGTCTGAAGTGCGATCGTGGACAGGCCCCTCTCCCTGCCTTAGCAGTGACATGCAATTACATGCCGAGACGTTTCTAGAGAGAGACGACTCCCAAGAATTTGGGGAGCATTAATCATTCTGTTTCTATGGTAATGTGCATTGTCTTTTTGGAATGCATATACACAGATTTTGGGAGCGTATGTTAAAAATCACAGTATTTTTATTTGTGGCACCTATGAAATGTACTTCTTGCCTAATAGTGACCAAGTTTTCACTGTTGCTAGAGACAGCCTCTCACCATGCAAGCAGGCTGCCCTTGAGCATAGACTCCCATGCTTCTGTCTCAGCTTCCCAAGTTCTGGGAGTCAGTGTCTCTTTCTCTCTCTCTCTCTCTCTCTCTCTCTCTCTCTCTCTGTCTCTCTCTCTGTCTCTCTCTCTCTCTCTCTCCCCCTGTGCTTGGAGACTGAACCCAGGACCTTATATATGTTAAGCCCCAGCCCCTTTGCTGTCACATTTACAGAAACATGTTTACAGTTTCTCTATGATAAGTGGCATTTCATGCATGTTTCTGGCCCATATCACTTTTATAGTTAATTGGGAGTTTATAATAAATAATGAGTTTGAGTAATAATGTTTAACATTATTACGAATGCTATTCTGTGGTGGATAGCTGTGTTGAGCCATCCTAACCTTAGAACATGACTGTTTTGGCTTTAGATCATGCTGGACTGAGATCAGGACCATTAACTCACCAGGAGGAATGTACCCATACTGCATACTCTGGGCTCTGGTTTACAGTTTAAAATGGGAGGTCACACTAGCCATTTCTGACTCAGGGCCAGACCAGAATTACTTTAGGCTAGTCTGTCACTACCCACAATAGACCCAGGGACTCCATGACACCGAAACGCTGCTTGACTGTCCACTCAACTCCTCGCCCCGTAAAAGCCACTCCTAGCGTGCACCTGTGTCCCTTCTCTCTCCACTTTTATCCAACACACTGTCTTCTGTCTTCAAAGAATTCGTTCTGTCAGGGGCCTGTGAATGCTGTCCTAGGCAAGGCAATTATCAAGTGTTTAAAAATTCCATTACATAAAACTTTTCCAAATGTGGCTGTAAGAGAACTGTGTTACTATTTCCTTTCTTGCCATTTTTTTAGGATTAAGGCTCCTCTGCTCTTCCTCTTCTCTTTCCATGGGTAACTTTATTAGATATTTATCAGTTTTCTGGGCATGGTGACCCATGCCTTAATTCTAGGACCCCCCCCCAGAAGGTAGAGGCAGGCAGATCTCTGAGTTAAAGTCCAGCCTGGTCAACAAAGCAAGTTCCAGGACAGCCAAAGCTACACAGAGAAACCCTATCTCAAAAAAACAAAGCTGAAAAGGATTCATCAATTTTATTACAGTTTTTTGTTTGTTTGTTTGTTTGAGAGGGGGCTCTTTCTATGTTTCTTAGGCTAACCTTTACCTCCTGAGCAGAAGAAGCATCCTTTTGCCTCCATCTCCTAAGAAGTTGAGATTACAGATGTGAATCACTGTGCTCATTCTCATTCCCCTTTTCAAAAGCTTGCCCTTGGGTTTATTTGTGGGGCAATGAGGGTGGGAGTGGGGCTGAGGTGGGTGCCCACACCTGAGGTCACTCTGAGGCAAAAATCATGCTTCCTCCCCATTGCTCTCCATCTCAGAGGCAGGAGCTCTCCCTGAAATGAAACTTTCAGTTTCAGCCAAGCTGGCTGGTCAGTGAGCTTTGGGGTTCTCCGTGGCTCCGCCCACCACTGTTGGGAAGATGGGCACAAAGAGCCATACATGGCTTCTTCCCTGGCTACTTGAGGACTCAGACTCAGGGCCTCATGCTTTCTCGGCAGGTGGCCTTGCCCACTGAACCATTTCCCCATCCTTTGGCTTTAATTGCTAGTTCTTGTTTGTTTGTTTTTGCTGTTGTTGGACACTTACTTCATTAATTTTCACCCTTCCTATGTCTTTACTTCATTCCCCCTTTTCCTGGGTGTTTGCCTTATGTAATCAAATAAAGACGGCAGCACCCGTGTCTCCTTCCTTAGGCAGTAGTAACTGTTTCCCCTAACAACGAGGCCTGCAGGAATTCTCAGAACCAGTCAAAGACCATTTGTTGTCTGTTCACGGAGGCTGGACTGGTTTTTCACATCCTGGCAAACGTTTGTGAACCTTTTAAATTACAATTAAGGGTGATACTGAGAATTTTACAGGTATCACTTCTGCTTTACCTCACCGCACTGTTGTAAGTCTGACACTTACTACACTTGTTTTATAAAGCATGAAGTTTAACAGGATTTTATACTTCGGTTCTGAGTATAGTAGGTAATAATTCTGGGCTTCAAACTTAGAACGTTAGGTTCAAAAGTCTCTATTGGTAACTGCTAGCTAGGGTAGACTGGTTTCTTGGGAAAAGTGTTTGTTTCTTTTTCATAAAATATGAAGCGATATAAACGTGAACTTAGCTGGTGCTACTTTCCTTCTAGGGAAATACTATATAGCCACCATGGCCTTGATCACCGCCTCCACAGCCCTTACCATCATGGTAATGAACATTCACTTCTGTGGGGCTGAGGCCCGGCCAGTGCCACGCTGGGCCAAGGTGGTCATTCTGAAGTACATGTCCCGGATCTTGTTTGTCTATGACGTGGGTGAGAGCTGCCTCAGCCCCCACCACAGCCAGGAGCCAGAACAAATCACAAAGGTTGATAGCCAACTCCCAGGATCCAATCTGAAAACATCCAGAAACAAAGACCTTTCCAGAAAGAAGGAAACGAACAAACTCTTGAAGAATAACCTGGGGTGTCAGGGCGGGATCCCGCAGAATGCCGAGAGTTACTGTGCACGCTATGAATCGCTGACGAGAAACATTGGATACATTGCCAAGTGCCTTAAAGACCACAAAGCCACCAACTCCAGGGGCAGCGAGTGGAAGAAGGTTGCCAAAGTCATAGACCGGTTTTTCATGTGGGTTTTCTTTGTTATGGTGTTTGTCATGACCATTTTGATCATAGCAAGAGCAGATTAGGAGAAAAGAGAAAAAGGGAGCTGGTAGACCTTAGACATTTTGGGGAAAAAACAAAACAAAAACAAAAACAAAACAACAAAATCCTCCTGCGATCTGCTCCAATGCTGGAGTTCAACTGCTGTTCAGACATAATTTAGGGAATATGCTGTGTATGCTTTTATTTTTAAACTTCAGTTAAAAAGCTACGTGTACCCATTCCTCCGTTGATGGACATCTGGGTTGTTTCCAGGTTCTGGCTATTACAAATAAAGCAGCTATAAACATGGTTGAGCAAATATCTCTTTTGTGTACTTGAGCAAACTTTGGGTATATACCTAGCAGTGGTATAGCTGGGTCTTGAGGAAGCACTATTCCTAATTGTCTTAGAAAGCGCCAGATAGATTTCCAGAGTGGTTGTATCAGTTTACACTCCCACCAGCAGTGGAGGAGGGTTCCCCTTTCTCCACAACCTCTCCAGCATGTGTTGTCCCTGGAGGAATGGGTACAGAAATTGTGGTATTTTTACACAATGGAATACTACTCAGCAATCAAAGAGGAGGAAATCATGAAATTTGCAGGCAAATGGTGGGACCTAGAAAAGATCATCCTGAGTGAAATATCCCAGAAGGAGAAAGACAAACACGGTATATACTCACTTATATAGACCTATAAGATATGATAAACATAATGAAATCTATACACCTAAAAAAGATAATCAAGAGAGCGGACATGGGGTAAGATTATCAATCCTCGTTTTGAAAGACAGATGGGATGCACATTAAACATTGACAGGAGTCTACTGAGCGCATTTGAAAAACTCTAACTAGCAGTGTTTTCAAAGCAAAGACTCATGACCAAACCTTTGGCAGAGTACAGGGAATCATAAGAAAGAAGGGGAGTTAGTATGATGAGGAAAGGATAGGAGTTCCACAAGGACCAAACATATCTGGGCACAGGGTCTTTTCTGAGACTGACATGCAACCAAGGACCATGTATGAATGTAACCTAGAACCCCTGCTCAGATGTAGCCTGTGGTAACTCAGTAACCAATTGGTTTCCCATACTGAGGGGAACAAGGACTATTTCTAACAGGAACTCAATAACTGGCTCTTTGGCCTCCCCACCCCCCAAGGGAGGAGCAGTCCTGTTAGGCCACAGAGGAGAGCTTTGCAGCCAGTCCTGAAGATACCTGATAAAACAGGATCGGATGAATGGGGAGGAGGTTCCCCCTATCAGTGGACTTGGCAAGGGGCACGGTGGAGATGAGGGAGGGAGGGAGGGACTGGGAGGGAATGAGGGATAGGGACACGGCTGGGATACAGAGTTAATAAAATGTAACTGATAAGAAAAAAATAAAATTTAAAAAAAAAAAGCTACGTGTAAGGTTAAATCAGGCAGGAGACCCAAACTTTCAAGGGTGAAGAGATGAAGGAAGGAAGTGAGGAAGGGTCCTCTTCATAGCCTCCCATAATGGTGAGTGGCAGGCCTCAACTTTACATACTTCTTTATCATTTATCATTGTAGTCAACAAAACACAGCGTATTCCTGCTTAAGATTTAAAGGGGAAAAAAAAAAAGACAAAACTAATTTATTTTTCTCTTAGTCCCTAGTAAAACAATTTTTTAATATAAAAGGAAATGAATTGTGTAGATTCAGCATGATAGGCACCTCAGGGGTGACTTCCTCAGATAGGGTGTTGTTTTAGTTAGGGTTTTTATTGCTACAATGAAACACCAAGATCGAAAAGCAAGTTGGAGAGGAAAGAATTTATTTGGCTTACACTTCCACATTGCTGTTCATCTCCGAAAGAAATCAGGGCAGGAACTCCAACAGGGCAGGAGCCTGGAGGCAGGAGCTGATGCAAAAGCCATGGAGGGGGCTGCTCACTGGCTTGCTCCCCTGGCCTGCTCAGCCTGCTTTCTTACAGCACCCAGGACCACCAGTTCAGGGACAGCACCACCCACAGTGGGCTGGGCCCTCCCCTATTCATGGCCAACGACTTACAGCTGGATCTCATGGAGGCGTTTCCTCAACTGAGGCTCCTTCCTCTCTGGCGACTCTACCTATATCAAGTTGACACACAACCAGCCAGAACAGGTGCATCGTGTCCCAGGTCTCAAATGGCAAATTACTTTGTCCGGGCCAGTTTATGGTAATTACATCATACCTATAATTCCAGCACTGGGGAGACAGAGGCAGGAGGACCACCCCGAGTGCAAGGGCAGCCTGGTCTATGAAGGCTATGTAATAAGATCCTAGCTCAGAAAATTTAACTTAGGTACAACAGCAACAAAGATTTTTTTTTTTTTTTTTTGGTCTCACAGAATGTCTAGCTTCAGACATTAAAGGGAAAGAGGGTTTTTTTTTTATATATAATGATGATGTCACACATTTGTTACTTTGCACTCCAAAGTTGAGGTTGTTGCTATATTGTCTTTAATTATAATAAGGTAGATGGGATTGTGCTTCTGTTAAGTCTTTTATTAAACTATAGCAGGCTGAGCTCACCCATTGATTCACCTCCTCTAAGCATTGGTTTTCCCTGAACATAATAAAGGAATGACTTACATTTGCATGGGTGTCACAGCAAAGCTGGCCATCATGACAGTCCTGGGAGCCAGGCAGGGGAAGAAACTGGGGTTTAGGAAGGCGGGTGCTGGTGACCTGTCTCTTCAGTGTCCAGCTAAGTGATATGTGGGCTGGAGTTCTGCTCTCGGTACTATGGTATGGGTTTAAGTGGGACCAGGCCTGCTAAGGTCATAAAAGATCATAATTTAGAATAAGAAAGACAGAGGTTCCTATTTTATTTGTTTTTTGTTTGTTTGTTTATTTTGTTTTGTTTTGTTTTTGAGACAGGGTTCCTCTGTGTGGCCTTGGCTGTCCTCAAACTCAATGTAGACCAGGCTGTCCTTGAACTCCTAGAGATCTGCCTGCCTCTGCCTCCCTGAGTGCTGGGATTACAGGTGTGTAACACCACACCCAGCTGAGAGTCCTGTTCTTTTGATTTTTGTTTTGTGTTTCTGGGACGGGGTCTTATGTAGCCCAGGATTGTCTCAAATTGGCTTTGTAGCCAGTGTTGACCTTGAACTCTGCATTCTTCTGCTTCCACCTCCCAAGGGCTGAGAATGTAGGCATGTGACCCCACAGCCGGGTTCTCAGTCTTAATTCTAGACTTTTTGCCTTAACTTGTATTCCTTAAAAACAACAACAACAACAACAAAAGCCCCACTTTTAAAGCTTTTGTCTTAAAAACAGAAACCAAAAAGCCCCTAAAATCTCTTGGGAGTAAGCACCTTTCCTCACTGAGCCATCTCGGTGACCCCTTAATTACTTTCTACACAGCTCAACAGCTCCTCTACTTTTAATCAAATCTGTCTTCAAGGACGGCCATGTTCTAATCCTCAGAACCTGCCAGTGTATTAAGTTACTTGGCAATGGGGAATCAAGGCCACTAACCAAACAACCCCAGGACAGATTTTCTTGGGCTATCCAAATGGGCCTATTTGAATCTCTTTATACAGAAGAAGAGGAAAAGAGAAAGAACCAAAGAGATGGCATCTAAGAAAGACTCAGGTAATGCTACAGGTCTTGAGAATTGGGAACTATGGGCAAACAATATTCAGCCTCTAGTAGCTTGAAAAGCCACAGATACAGATTGTCTGACCTGTTGAATATTGATGTTAGTATATCAGGACTCATGCTAACCTCCTAGCCTTCCACAACTCTAACCTGATGCATTGGCATAAGTTTGTGATAACGTATTACAGCAGATACAGAAAACTAATACACTAGCCAGTGAGGGCCACATGTGTTCTGTGGTTTAGATGTGTTTTAAATGTGTTTTCCCGAGGTCATCTCTTGGGAGATGATTGAACTTTTAAAAGGTGGGGCATAGAGGTAGGTTCTTAAGTCGTTTGGGGGCAGTCTCCTGAAAGGAATTGTGGGATCCCAGTCCCCCTCCAGCATCCTGCCTAGAGATGTGTTCTTTAGGTCCCCTACATGCTCTCGCAACTGCATCTGCCATGAGGTGGTGTAGCCAGAGGGCTCTCACTGGAACCTGTGCCATGCTGTTCGCATTGTAAGCCTTAAAACCCTGAGCTACCATAAACCTTTTCTTTATAAAATATGCCTGTTTTGGGTATTTCATTGTACTGAACCAAAACTACTGAGCTCTTTTTCCATAAGACCACAAAAGATTTTTTAAAAAGGGGCTGAGGTCATCAGGTCTTTTTTTCAGGAGTAACCCTGTGGTCATAACTGAAAGATTGTAGTAGAAAGAGAAGAGGCAGGGCGGGCTGTCAGGACTGTTCTTACCAGGTTGGAGAAGTTGTAGTGATGGCTTTGACAACAAAGAGAAGAGACAAGAAAATAGAAAGATCACAGATCACAAAACAATGTGACCGAGAATACACAAATCTGCTGAATGGTTCGCTCTGGGCTGCCTAGGAAATAGAGTTTGAAAGAGATCTGAGGATGAGAAGAAATGAGTCCAGTTGTGTGTTGAGCAAACTGTCCAATTGTCAGCTGGAACTCAGGCTCAAGGGGAGAACAAGGCTGAGTATGTTTTAGAAGGAGAAGCCAACAGTGGTGGCTCATGCCTTTAATCCCAGTACTTGGGAGGCAGAGGAAGGTGGATCTCTGTAAGTTCAAGCCCAACCTGTTCTACAGATCAAGTTCTAGGACACAAGGGCTACATAGAGGAACCCTGTCTTGAAAACCAAAAAGAAAAAGAAAGAAAGAAAAGTAGGAAGGAAGAAAGGAAGGAAAGATGGAAAGAGAGGAAAGCAGGTTTGCAAGACAGGACAGTGCCATTAAAGCAGTGACCTGGGAAAGGTACAAGAGTCAGGCAAGCGTGGCAAGGTGGGGGACCTGGTCATGCACAGCCTGGCAAGGCTTAAAATATCACCAGCCACATGGCCTACTGTCCAACCACGTTGGTGAGGTAAAACCAGGGCCTTCTGAGGTCCTGGTCTTTGTTCGTTCTCCTCTGCTGCCTCTGTGTCTACTTTTCCATCCACCAA